ACCAGTTGAGGAATGCTAGCAGTTAGTCTAGAGGAGAGATGGCTCAACTTTTGCCTTTTTGTTAACCTACACAAAAATAAAACTAAATGATTCTTTCTTGAGATGATCTCTGTGATAAATGAATGATAGTTCTTCTTTGTCTTAAAGCCCGGTCAAATTTTCTCCTGGGGATTTCTGGGGAAGAGGTGCGTCAGCCAGCACTGCAAATCCTCAGACACCCGTGGAATACCCAATGGAAACAAGCGGAATCGAGCAGATGGATGTGACCATGAGTGGAGAAGCATCAGCGCCGCTTCCAATACGACAGCCACACTCCGGGCCATACAAAAAACAAGCTTTTCCCATGATCTCCAAACGGCCAGAGCACCTGCGTATGAATCTATGACAAAGCAATGCTTCTAATGAATTTAAGGCAAAAAAAAGGTGGGGTTTGTGAGCACCCTACAAGGTGAAACAAGAAGACTGAAAATGACAGTCTTACAGAGCCGGTGTCTTTATACAGAACATCTTGAACAGAAGGAAAAGTAAACATGGATTTTTAAAAATCAATCAATGGTGCAAAAAAGAAAAAAACTTAAGCAAAATAGTATTGTGGAATTCTTAGGCACATCAATTAATCGATTCCTAGCAACATCTTCTCAACCTTATCAAGGATTTTCATGCTGATGGCTCAAAACGGACAGTATTAGGGGTAGGATGTTGCTTCTGAATCACTGTTGGATTCGAATTGTGTCGAAGAAGGGTTATCTTTTCATTAGGCAAAGTATGAAGTTGCCTATTAATACTTGCAACTAAGGACAAATTAGCATGCAAGCTTGGTTAAACTTTTTCCAGGAACATGGAATCAAAGACAGAAGAAACCTATCAATTGATGTTTTATGTGCAAACAACCTGAATCTTTTTTTTATATAAATATATATTTTTCAAATAGATTTTTGATTCAGCTCATTATGGAATACATCTCAAACTTTAAAATGCGAAATTATTGGTTGGTGTGAAGAAAACCAGACAACTTCTGTTTCTTCTCTTGGTGATATAATAAAATGCAAATGAATCATTGTTAACCACAGCTGTGGCTCGTTTGAGGGATTGGGACAGAATTGGGGTCTATTTTCAGTAACCCAGCTGCAATACCTATCTGTAATACTTGGGTGTGTGTTCGGGGGGGTTGGGGGAGATGAACTTATTTAATCATTTCTACCTGCAGTACCTGCTATGTGCTAAGCTGAACTGGAAGCCTTGGAATGGGCATACGTTTTATGTCCTACTTATCATTCTTGTCCTAGGCCTGTATTGCACTGGGAATAAAATCACCATCGGTTCTTAGACCAGTATTTGGTTCATGACACCAAATATATTCTGCCCGTGACTGAAGGAGGACTGAAGAGAGGGGAAAATGCACTTGCAGGAGGCAAAGTGAGGGAGGCTAGAGATCCATGGGCAGAGGGCATTGCCACGGTCCACACTGTCTGATCGCTTTATAACAAATTAGTAAGGTTTTATGTTTTACTTTTTTTTTTACAGTTTACTTTCTGTATATTTTTTCCTCAACAGTTTTTTAAAAAGGAAAAAAGGTGGTTTTTTTTCCTCCTATAGTCGGGCTATGTTTTTTGATTGTAACAATATTTGATGGCCTTTTGATGAATGTCTTCCACAGTGAATAAGACAACTTAGTGGCTTAATTTAAGAACCATGTTACCAGGACACTCTGTTTTTGAAATTGTAACAAAATTTACATAAGTGATTTACAGGTAAAAAGAATAAAAATGAAGGTGATTTTACCTTTCTTAAATACTTCCTGCCTTAAAGAGAGCATTTCCATGACTAGCTGGTGAAAGGGTTTACTATCTGCAGAGCTTTATAAACAAATTCAGTGCATACTGGCTTCATAGATGATCATGCAGTTGGGTCCTACCACTCCTTTTTGTTGGTCTGGTATACTGTCTTCAGTCCAAGTGTGTAAAGTCGGTTTGTAATCTTTTGCAGCCCTGGAATTTTTTTTAAATAGATGCTGCTTGCTATGTTCTCCAAACCTTTTTGAGCCATAGGATCCAAGCCATAAAATTCTTTATGCATGTTGAATTCAGTCAGAAAAGAGCAAGGCTTTGTTTAAATTGCAATTCAAGTGAGATGGGATTAAATCCTGTCAACAGTAAGCAAAAACAGACCCATGGAAAATGATTGAAAATACACTTTCAATTATGGCAATAAACAAGAATTGATAACAGTTCAGCTTTAGATAGAAAAAAAATTCTTTTAAACCACCCTCTCAAGTTTCCTCTTTCCCTTTTTGCCGCAACCTACTGCAGACTTTCTAACTGTAGCTGGTAAATTAGGAGCTACAATGATGATTAAGGGCAGAAATTATACCGTAGGTATAAAATCATTGTTCTCCGACAGTTTGTGATGTCTGAAAAACAGAAGCTAAAACGTCATGGTGGTTTGTACAAATTTTGTTTCAGACTGTAAATGGCTTGTGGTGTCTTAACTGTTGTCTTGAAATGTGTTTACTCACTGTGGTGTTGTTGACTGCCTGAACAATTCCAGTGATGCTTTGACACCAAAATATCCCCGTCTTATTACAAAAAACATTTGCACTGTGAATGGTTGGCTATAACTACCCTATAGTTAAAACTGTTTTCATAATTAGTGCTGCCAGCAATACTGGCAAACACTGCAACTTTTCTGCATAGAAAGCATCCATGCAAGTAGTTTTCCTAACTCAATATTCATTAAGTGGAATTAATTTTCCATCTTGTGGCAAGTTTATTGAGAAATTGTGTTCCATAAATGGACATCCCTACTATGACTGTGAAAATGTCGAGTGCCACATTGATGTCAGACAGAAAGCACACACCTATGCAATATGGCTAACTATATTTATTTGTAAAAATTCACGCGTAGTTTAAACATATGATGTCAATAGGACTAGTCTAGGAGGGTTCATTATGAGTATTCCAGGTAAGTGTATAAAAGAGCTTAAGTGCTTTTCTTTCATCACTTGATTATTTTCTTTAAAATCAACTATTACAGGATATTTTTTTATTTTATACATGCTGTTTTTTAATTAAAATATAACCACTGAGAATGAAGTTTACTAATTTCATTTTATAAGATTTGTAAGCGTTACAGAATAATTAAACTGGGATTTATAAACCAGCTGTGATTAACAATGTAAAGTATTAATTATTGAACTTGAATCAGATTTTTAGAAATTATTTTTCCCCTTTGTGGTCTTAACTAATTTGAATCCGCCAAGGATTTTCCCATACTATTTTTGAGAGAGAATTTGGGGGGAGGGGGTCTGATGCATGTATGATATTCCATAAATTCAACATTCTTTACTATAGCTGATAAATGATTATAATAAACAAGAATGCATCTTATGTAATATTATATACTGAGCCTTGGATTTTATATTTAATATAGGACCTATTTTGGATATTCAATTAGTCATGGTTCCTAGCTTTCTAAGGGCTAGATCTAAGATTATTCCCTTGAGAAATGTTGAATTTATGAATAGATTTTGAAACTGATTGATTCTCAATGTCCAAACATCTACCTTTTTCCATAGTAGTAGTAGACATGAACAAGCTGGACAAACCAACCAGAAAAATACATACTATCACTTATGATCTGACATCTGTTACTGATTGATACAGTACTTTTCTTGTGTGATTCCTAATTTAACACTACAGCACAAGTGTTATTTCAGTAGATTATCTGGAGTACAATCTGAAAGATGGGTTTGTCTATGTTTGTGTTTGCTCTTTTAAAACTTAATTTTTTTCTATTTCAAGTTGGCTTTGCATCAGAGTAAATAAATTCTTCAGCTGCCTTATCAGGAGTGCTATGAGGGTAACGCTTTTTCTGCTTTTCATCTTGTATTTAGTTCAATGTATTATTTGATTTTGGATTGACTGAATGTAAATAGAAATTAAATACAAATTTGAATGAACATAAAATAGTGATTTTTTTTAATTATCCTAAGATAGGAAGAAAATATACACATCAGGTGCATGTAAGTAACTTTTTTTTTAATATACCAAATGCAGCTAAGTTCTCATATCTAATGTTACTAAAAAATGTGAAAAATGACCATAGTAAAGAGCGTAGTATTGATTTTATATATTGAATTTGGATAGTTGTGCAAAAATAGACTTGAAATTGTTGCTTTAAAAGTCACATGAAAATTTTACATAATTTCACATAAAAGTACTGAGATGATTTCTAATGGCAATCAACATTTTCAACTATATTATTGGATTTGTATGTGCCGCCAAATTGTAAGCAACATCTGGTAAGCATCACCCTTCCAAAAGTTATTTCTGTACAGAAGTTCCCCTAGACTTTACCCTTTTATAAAATATAGTATTTTCTTAGTGCTGGTAAAATAATCTTTGAGAGGGCATGATATGAATTCATGAAATTTTTTAGTCTATATTTCCTTTTGTTTGAAGAGAAGAAATACAAAGGCAGAAGTAGAGTTCATCAGTCTTGCTAGTGGACTGCATAGCTTTATAGTTTCCCTTTTACAGTTCCTATGTGAATGTTGTTTTAAAAAAAAAATCACTGTCCACAGTCAGCCTCAAGTGTATTAAGAAACTAGGTGTGGGAGGTAAACCAGCACTACAGAAGAGAGCAGAACCTCTTTTTAGTGTGTTTAATACAGTAATTCTAAAAATAAACACCAAACCTATTGCTTTTATGTCAATTCTGATTCATTACAACTCAGAACTGTCCCGTAGAGTTTACAAAACTAGATTTTTATGGAAGCAGACGGCCACATCTTTCTCCCATGAATACGGGGTGGCTTTGAACTGCTGAACTTGAAGTTAGCAGCCAAGTGCTTTACTACTGTGCTACCGGGGCTCCATTGAGAATATGGATAATATGGATAAAAACCAAACCCACTGCCATCGAGTTGATGCTGCCTCAGTGACCCTATCGCCCACAGCTGTAAATAAATAATATGAATGTCACAGCTAAGAACAGAATGCGTGTGTACATTTAAATCTTTTATTGTCACTGATTGCTTATACAATAGAGAATAATACAATATTTAAAAACATATCCTCAGTAAATCAATCTTCATTTAGGAAATCTGATTATTACCAGTAAAATACAGCCCTTAGAACTTCCATTTAAATGAACAATTTTATGAAAATTTTAAGCAGTTTTGAGAATGAGAATTATAAAAGTCAATGTTAAAGAAAATTCTCGTTTCAGGTAAGGTTCATCTAAAAAATAGTATGAAAAAATAGTCTATTTTGAAAATAATGTCAGGAAAGAATACCTGAGTTCCTCTAAACCCAAGTTCTAGTTAGTCAATTGCTGTTTTGGTTACATTAAGAAGAAAATATATTTACATTTTAACACTGCAATCACCTGTCCAATAATTAGGCTAAAAGAAATGCTAGATACATGTTAGATTGAACATTACTTATATATTTTTGAGAGCACGAGGTGCATTCACTCATTCTGCTAAACTGGACTATGCATTTAAATCATAACAGTCTGAAAATATTTGGAAATATTTTCTTTTAGTTGTGAAAACCCTTTCTAATGCCTTTACCAATAGTCACTGTATCCAGATGAAACTATTCTGTGGCCTTAATAGTTTATAAGACTTAATATATTTGAAGGTGTGAAGAAGTAGCTCCATCTTTCCATTTGTTGATATGGTCTGAAATTACAGTTCTGCACAGTGGACATGTTTTTTCTCTGTTAAACCATAAGGTAATGCATTCTTCACAAAATATATGCTGCAAGGGAATTAAGTACTAGATTTTACACTTCATAAACATCTTAAATTCATCACACTACAGATAATCATACTCGAGAGCTGAAAGTAAGTTTGTTACAAAGCAGGTTAGAACCACTAAGTGTTCTTTTGACTCTATTTATAGGAATATTTATTTAACCATTTTAAATAAAATACAAGATGACCTCGATATGATAATACTTAAAGTTATTATAACACTTTAATAGTCATTTAAAATGTAAAATGACTGGCAAAGTATAAGAAAAAGCCTTAAAAAAATAAAAAGCCTTATAAAATACAATGACAAATGTTGGTTTATTCTAAAAGACTACCATCCACTTTTTAAAAATTAGTCTGCCTTCTAATCACTTTGGTATTAAATTTGCCAGATGAATCCCCCCCCCCTTCATACATCTCTCTGCATAAAAGCCATCAACAAGGCACAAGGTTTACCCAATCTACCAAACCCCTAATCATGAGTAAGAAACTATGCTCGTATGACTCTTGAATGCTACCTTCCACTAAACACTATTTGTTTTTTCTTTATAACTAACATGAATGTGACTTCTGAGTCATGGAGAAGAAATGCTTTATCTAGGTTCCGTGAAAATATAATTACCTGACAAATGAGAAGAACTGGTTTCTGAAACTCAGCTTGACAGATTGAGCAAATGTCATCCACATCTGAACACTGTCTCTTGCTGGCAGCTACACCATAACTCTATGAAAATAATAAGTTTTGCTCACTTACAATTTTGTTTTTAGTGTTTCTCAAATATATAGATGTTCTGCTTCTCAAATCCCCCTGGAACCAGGCATTTGAAAGTGTTCTTGGAGGATACAAACATTTTGAGGCTGAACTACATAAATCCATGTTTTGAATTGCAAGGGGTGAAATCATGAAGACATAATTTGACCTAGGAAACTGTTAAATTTAGTGAACTCCCAAATGAGTACTTCAAATCCAACACAACTCTTAAAAGACTATAGGCTTACTCTGAGTCAAATCAACAGCACTGAGGTTTTACACTTGCATAAGAGGGGCGCTTTGAGACGTTCCTGGGAAAATAGAAAGGGAATTTTTTTGGAAGCTCCATTGCACTATATGACAGGAATACTAAATTGAACCTACTGTTAGATCTTGCAGAGGTTCCCCGCAGGGTCAACCCATTCCTTATCCGGAGAAGTTATCTTAAAAATACAGGTGTCTGCCCTACACTAGGGACTGATTCAGTATGTCCAGATACACTGGTACAGGACCCAGGAAATCCATTTTTTTAAAACAAACAACATGTGAATTCTAAATGAAAGTTTGGGGCCACCGAATAATATCCTGCTGAGTTATTTTTTTAATCCTTATATTGGGGGCTCATACAACTCTTATCACAACTCACCTATTGTGTAAAGCACATTTGTACATTCGTTGGCCTCATCATTTTTCCCCCCAAAGAGTTGTAAAATCCCTCACTTTATTTTTTTAATCGTTTTATTAGGGGCTCATACAACTCTTATCACAATCCATACTTACATCAATTGTGTAAAGCACATTTGTACATTTATTGTCCTCATCATTCTCAAAACATTTTCTCACCACTTAAGCCCCTGGCATTAGGTCCTCATTTTCCCCCTCCCTCCTGAGCCCTTGATAATTCATAAATTATTTTGTCATATCTTGCCCTGTCCTACATCTCCCTTCACTTTTCTGTTGTTTGTCCCCCAGGGAGGAGGTCACATATAGTTCCTTGTAATCGGTTCCCCCTTTCCAGCCCACTCTCCCGCTACCCTCCCAGTATCGCCACTCTCACCACTGGTCCTGTAGGGCTCATCTGCCCTGGATTCCGTTTCCAGTTCCTGTCTGCACCAGTGTACATCCTCTGGTCTAGCTTCAGATCATGATAGTGGGGGCGGGGACGAAGCATTTAGGAACCAGAGGAAAGTTGTATTTTTCATCGTTGCTACATCGCAGCCTGACTGGCTCATCTCCTCCCCGAGACCCCTCTGCAAGGGGATCTCCAGTGGCCTACTAATGGGTTTTGGGTCTCCACTCCGCACTCCCCCCATCATTCACTATGGTAAGATTTTTTGTTCTGATGATGCCTTATACCTGATCCCTTTGACACCTCGTGTTTGCATAGGCTGGTGTGTGTCTTCCATGTGGGCTTTGTTGCTGCTGAGCTTGATGGCAGCTTGTTTACCTTCAAGCTTTTAAGACCCCAGACGCTATATCTTTTGATAGCCAGGCACCATCAACTTTATTCACATTACTTATTCATCCACTTTGTCTCCAGCGGTTGCGTCCAGAAGGTGAGCATCATAGAATGCCAATTTAATGAAGTATTCTTGCATTGAGGAAGTACTTGAGTGGAGGCCCAATGTCCTTCTGCTACCTTAATACTAAAGCTATAAATATAGGCACATAGATCTATTTCCCCATCCTCATATATAAATATATTTGCATATGTACATGTCTTTATCTAGACCTCTATAAATGCCCTTTGCCTCCCAGCTCTTTCCTCTCGTTCCTTGACTTTCCTCCTGTCCCACTATCATGCTCAGTCCCCACCAGGGTTTCAGCAATTCCTCTTTGTTACATTACCCTTGATCCTGCCCTACCAGGTCTCCCACACCCACCTCCCACCAATTTGGATCACATGTTGTTCCCTTGTCCCTGGGTTTGTTAACACCACACTTCCTTTCCCCCCACCTCCCTCTCTCCCATGTGCCCCCGGAACTGTCGGTCCCGTTGTTTTCTCCTCCAGATTGTTCATCCCTGCTGAGTTTTAAAATATTTTTACTTATCCTTAATTATCAGAAAAGTTGGGTCTTATTACTAAGAAAGGAATGACAAAAATTTCAAAGAACTAAAATAGGCAAATGTCACGTGGGTAGAGACAGGACTGTCAAAAGTAACTGAACAATAAATACAATTATTTGAATTTTCTTTTCCTCAAATCTTAAATGTTTCTGAATTCTGAGATCTTTAATTTTTTTCAGCAAATTTGGTACAACTTTACTCATTAACTAGAGGTTACATTGAAGAATTCTCATGGAGATTTAGAAGAATCAAAATGTTACAAATCAGATCAGCTCAGTCACAGAAATGAGAGGAAAGCGTGACTTGTTGGGACATACCTGATGTCATAATCGAAATGTCTTCAACTAAATGTCTAGACTAACAAAAGGATGAAAAAAATAAGAACTTTTGAGTTTGGTAGTATTAAAAATCCAGTAACGAGTCATCACACTGATCGAAGATCTTGGTATCTATCTCCCTTTAGTAAAATGTCCTTTAGCGGAGTGCAGAATACATTGTCAACACTTATTTTACATTGAAAGCCTTTAAAATAGTATTCTTGTCTGGCATTTTGGAAACTACCTCCAGGAGATTGCATTTCCCTGGTCAGTTAAGGAAGGTCCATGTATATGTGAGGGAGCTTCCCCAAGTTTGTGGAAAAAATCCATCACTGTTTCATTTATCTTGCACATGCCCAGTATCTTGGAGAATCTGAAATATATGCCATTATAAGTGCCTATGATGTCTTATTGAAGCATGACTGCTATTTTCTTTCATAAAGAAAGAATATCCAAATGTATTCTTGAGATTATTTCAGTACAAGCTTTATTGGATGGATTCTAGTGAAATATTAAATTGACCAGAATTGAACTTTCCCTTTTACCTTGTGTCAAGAAAAAGGTCTGTATAGGATGTGACCAAGACTTGCTTCTATACTAACACTATCTTAGTTAGTCTGTTGTACTTTAGAAACAAAATCTCTCATTAAATACATTTAATACTATATTATTTGGTTGGCATTCTTATCTGTCAGTCCCCCTGACCCCTGACAAATTAACTGTTTATGGACCAAATCATGAGATGTGATACCTAAGTTACTGGGTACCTTTGGGGCCTGGTCTGATAGGTAGATCACCTTGCTTTATGATACTTCATAATTTTTGTAACATTAACAATCATAATCAAGTTTATAGTAGTCTTGGGCAGCATCTCAATTTACTACTAAAAGTCCATGCTGTGAATTTATTTGTATCTACAGAATTTAAGAATTGGTAGAGAAATTTTCTCCAGTATGACAACTATAAGAAACATTTTTAGTAATGGGGATGTCAGAAATGGCTTAAAAAGTTTGTGGGAAAATGGAATAAAAAGATAATAGAATTTTTCCCACAAACTTTTTGAAAGCCTCTCATAAAAGTGAAATCACTTTCATAAACG